GCTGGAAGCGACTGGGCAGCTGCCCCGCCGGGCTGGCTCGCACCTTCTTCTTCCGCCGCTTCTTCGGAGCCGCCCGCGGGGCGCCTCCCGCCACGGCCGGGCTGCAGTGGGGCAGAGCTGCTGCTGGGGCGCGGGGCTGTGGGGCCAGGCAGGGCCCGTCTCCCCCCAGGAAGTGAGGGAGGAAGAGAGTCGGGGGCAGCGCCCGAGGGTCTGGGATCCGGGGCACAGGCGGCGGGGCCGAGGTCACCATCGGGAGGGCCCCGAAGTAAGCGCGGGCAGAGAAGCCAAGCGGCCCAAGACGGCCGCCCAAGACGAGCGGCTCCCGCTGCGGGACAGAGACGACAGTCATAGTGCTAGGAGTCCGGAGGCTCGGCAGGAAGAGGAGGAAGTGAAGCCTGTGATCACCGAGCGGCGGCGGTTGCTGCTGCGAGCCACGGGGGAGCGTAGAACATGACTCGGGCGGAGGCGGCGCAGCAACAAATAGCCAGGGTCTGGGTTCCCAGTGTTGTTGTCGGAGGCCCCGCCCCGACCCCGCCCACCCCCTGCTAACCCCCAATCCGAGGGCGACGAGGAAGCCCCGCCCCTCGGGCGCCTCCTCCATGGCCTCGGGAAGAGACACACACAAACAAGCGGCTTGCTGCAGCCTGGCACAAAGAGCGCGTACTGCGCAGGCGCTGCCAACGGGCTCTTTCGGGAAGAGTCGGTCCCGCGAACAATGAAGTTCGGTTTCGGCCCCGCCTCCCACGCTCGCGTCGGGGCGGTACACTGCGCCTGCCTGGGCGGGGCTCGGACGAGACGTCGCGGCGGAGGGGAGGCAGGAGGCGGGAGGAGGGAATTGGAGGCACGAAGGCCACGGATCCGTCTCGGCTGCTGAACTTGGAGCCGTATCCGCTTTAACTCCAAAAAAAAAAAAAAAAAAAAGGGTTTCAAAGAACACTATAAGAAGGTCTACCCTAGCGGCCGTAGAGATCAGTCCACATTTAAGCTATATAAATTTTTAGTGAAGTGTGCCTCTTTTTTTTTTATTTACTCGGCTTAGCAACACTTTTTTAGCACCAGTGATACGACTAAGAACTAAAGAAATACTTTTTAGTGATTGAACTGGCCCCTTAAATACAAAAAAGGGGAATTGGGAGTATTACCGCCCTCAAGCCTAAAGGATTCTGAGAACTGGGATCGCACAGCCGGGGACATGAGACAGCAAATGCTTTCGTCGTACAGGACGAAAGCGAAACTGCTCTGAAACATTTCCTATATTTTGTTAGTGAACTCTGGGATGATGGCATTCTCTCGTCTTCCCTTACTATCACAAAATAATTGTGGCCATCATTTATCAACACTTGTTCCAGGAACTGGTTTTGTGGGGTTTTTGTTGATTTGAGACAGGGTCTCGCTGTGCGGTTCAGGCTGGCCTTGAGTCACTTCGTAGCCCAGGCTGGTCTCGAACTTGTGACGATTACCCTGCCTTAACCTCCAGAGTGCGGGGATTACAGGCGCGTGCCACCATACCCTGCATGTTCTTTAACATAAAGTATTTCGTTTGAATCTCATAGTAATTCTAATGAATAGGTGCTGTACTTTGAATCCTTTTTACAGGGGAGAAAGTTGAGACTAACTGAGGCTGAAGAACTTGTCAAAGATCATGCAGTAATTTAGCAGCTGAATCCAAACAGGAGGGCTGAAAGAACAAAGTTTAACATGACACATACTACCTGCCACGGTAGTCAGTTTTTTGTTTTTTTTTTTCCCCAGGTTTTATGGGAGCATAATAAGCTTCCACTTCTCAGAACCCCTAACCAGTGTTTTATAGCTTTGTAGTGGTGATTAGTTGGTATCTAAAAATATGCTGTTTGTTGTCTTTTTGAGACAGGGTCTCACTATGTAGTTGAGGCTGGGAGTTGAGCTCACTTTGTAGTCGAGGCTGATCTTGAACTTGCAATGTTCCTCCTACCTTAGCCTCTCAAGTGTTGGAATTACTGGCGTGCGCCACCACACCCTGCTCTAAAACATGTTGTGTGACTGATAACAAAATTGAATATCCAGAATAATGTATTTCACCTTTTTATAAACTGTAATACATTTCACTGTGATGAATTGCTGGATTTTACCATTTTTGCTATATTTTTCTCATTTTTGTGTCTTTGACACTCAGAGCATGGTAGGTTCTCATGTTACTGGACAAGTGGGAATCATACAGTTCCAGAACTAGAAAAGACCTTACAAAGCCTTTAATTCAGATCCTCAGACCTATAAATTTAATTTGGGTCTAGAATACTGTGAGAGTGGCCTACCCAGAGCTGGTGAAGAGAGGCAAAAGCCAGGCGAGGTAGTGCATACCTGTGAAAATTCAAACACTCCGTGAGAACTGTCATGAGACAACAAACTGAATGGAAGAAAATTGTTGCTAGTTACTCTTCTAACAGAGGACTAATATCTAGAGTATGTATAGAACTTTAAAAATTAACCCCTATAGGCTGGGTGTGGTAGTGCATACCTATAATCCCAGCACTCAGGAGGCTGAGGCTGGAGGATTGCACAAATTCAAGCCCCTTTTGGGTTACATAGTGAGTTCAAGGACAGCCTAAACTATATAGTGAAATCTTCTCTCAAAAAACCAAAACCAACAAAACAAAATTCCAGCATGTATTTTTGGTTCCTCTGTCAAAAGGTGACTCTAGGTACTTAACTTTGTTTCTGTGTCTTCTGTTCTGTTGCAGTGGTTCACATTTCTGTTTTTGTTGCCAGTGCTATGTTGTTTTTGTTACTATGGCTTTGTAGTGTAGTTTGAAATTGGTAGAGTGATACCTCCAGCACTGCTTTTTTGCTCAAGATTGCTTTAGCTATTCTGGGTCTTTTCTGAGACCAAATGAAGTTCAGTATTGTTTTTCCCAGTTCTCTGAATTACTTTCTTGGCAGTTTAATAGGGATTACAATGACTACGGATCACTTTTGGTAATATGGCCATTGTAACAATGTTAATTCTGTTAATCCAAGCACAGGGATATCTTTCCATTTTCTCAAGTCATCTTCAGTTTTTTTCTTCAGAGTTTTGTAATTTTTATTAGTTAGGTAGTATTTAATTTTTTTTTTTTTTTTTTTTTTTTTTTTTTTT